CAACCAGATACATTAGCGCTTCAGGCCTCAGGCCAAGGCCAGACTACATCAAGGAGCTGGACATGCCCACTACTAGGTGTGGAAGGAAAGGAGGGTTGTCTCAGAACAGAGGTGAGCCCAGAGCAAGCATATCCATACTACAAGGCCAGCATTTAGAGGGCAGCTAATCAGACATTTGCCCAGTGGCAACACACAGGCTGGAGTGTAGCTCCCTAAGTCTCTACCTGGATCCTCCAGGGCAGGAACTGTACATACTTGTCATCATTCTCTTGTCAGTCAGGGTTCTGAGTCCCATGAGGACTACATCTCTCACAGGTATCTCTTTTTGCCACGCAGTGACTCCCAGATCAGGCGAGCCTGCCCTCAGGACCATGGGCTATGCACTGGCGGCCTCAGGCCAGTGCTGGACAGTTGTTAATGGTGAGGGAGGGAGGCGACAGGATACAGTTGGGATCACCCCTCTTTTCCTACGATAAGTCATTCTATATTAGCCTTCCCTCTAGCCCCAGTGCACATGTGCTACACGACAAAGGTCTACTGGCCCCACTGCTCATAGACATCAGGCTGCAGGGCAAACTTGATGGTTTCTGGTTTACGTGGAGTCACTCAGGCAGGCACCCTTTTGTAAACCATTACAGCCCTGTCAGCTTTCTTCTCCCATAGCCTTCCTGGCCTAGAGCTCCTTTGAGCCATTGTGGGTGAACATCTGCACCCCTTAATTCTTCCAGGGCTAGGTGTGCATCTGAGATCCTGGGCTGTCCGAACCCCTTTAGGGAAGCTGCCCAGACCCATTTCCAAGCTTCCTATTCCCTGATACTTCTTTGGTGGCTTTTTATGGAGAAGGTGCTTTTTTTGGCAGAGAGGGGAAGGTGCAGGGAGCCTTAGCACCAAGAAGCTCATGCTGCATCTTGTAGAGAGTGTGGGTGAGTGGGCCTGTTCTTGGGATGGCTCAGGCTCTCTGAGGAGGCTATTTGGTGAAAGCCATCTGATGCTCATTAGATGCAGAATTATTTCCTCCTTTCAGGCAACAGCTAAGTGTCTTGCCTGCAACTCAATCGTTGGCACACCCCTCCTTCCTGCCACCAGCAATCAACAATACCAGGAGACTGGGCAGTTCTCCTCAGAACTGAGGCTGTTTAGACAGTGGAGTTTTACCCTGTGTTCTGCAAGCCCACACCAGTTCCTGAGCAATGAGGAAGATGATGATGATGGATGGATGTCACAATCTTATCCCTGGAGAGCTGAGGGGGCCCAGCCCTTCTGGCCACATCCTTTTCAAAGGACAGACTCTAGTTCCTTCCCTTCCAAAGCTTCTCAGCTCCCATTAGGCCCTGAAATTCCCCTCTCTGTGTCTAGACCAGGAAGAATCCAAACCTCAGGCTCAATGTAGCTACTACGGCCTGAGAACAAATTCAGTAACAGCACCTGGATTGTGAGCTGCTTCTCTGCTGCTAATAGCCCAAAGGGGAGAGTGGAGTTGCCTGGCTCCAACAGAGAAAGGACATATTTCTTTTTGCTGGTATTTGTTCTCTAGGAGGAGCTGGCCAAGAGAATTCACATGTCCACTGCTGCTTCTGCAGAGTGGCACCCTCAGACCCCAAGGTCCAGCCATCATTCCTCTCTCCTCCTGAAAAGTCTGTCATTCCAACTGTGGCTGAGGGGACAGTATTCTGGCAGTAGACTCCTTCTTTAACACAGAAGGGCACTCTGTGCTTCCCTTTATCCTGGGCCCACTGCACCCTGCATCCATGGCACGTGGGTGCTAGGAACTGGGGTTCTCTAGATGCCAAAGGGCACTCATGGGCTCCACAGCCCTCCCTCCTCCTGTTAGGAAGCAGTGAGTCCAGCTGAATCTGGGCTGCAGTTTCTTCCAACAGGTACCTGTCTTTGCTCCCTGCTTTTCCTACTGAGCCTGGGCAGTAGGAGAGCTGACTCTAGACTTTGGCAAGGAGCTCTATGTCCTGTGTTCTCTCTATATTCTCTCATTCTCATCTCTACTCTTCTGTCCTGTTTTCTCTTCTCCTCCTGGCGGATCCCAGAGGCTGCAGCTGTTCACTCCTTGCTGCACATTCAGCTGTCTCATCCTGAATACTCTTTAGATATAAGCTCACTCTGTTGCCCTCCTCTTAAGCAGCTTCAATCCCTGGGCAGTCTCCCCTGTGGGCCACAGTGCCTTGCTTGGCCAGTGATTTTATTTTTTTATATATATATATATATTTTTTTTTTTTTTTTTTTTGAGACAGAGTCTTGCTCTGTCGCCCAGGCTGGAGTGCAGTGGCCAGATCTCCGCTCACTGCAAGCTCCGCCTCCCGGGTTCACGCCATTCTCCTGCCTCAGCCTCCCGAGCAGCTGGGACTACAGGCGCCCGCCACCTCGCCCGGCTAGTTTTTTTTTTGTATTTTTAGTAGAGACGGGGTTTCACCGTGTTAGCCAGGATGGTCTCGATCTCCTGACCTCGTGATCCGCCCGTCTTGGCCTCCCAAAGTGCTGGGATTACAGGCTTGAGCCACCGCGCCCGGCCAAGGCCAGTGTTTTTAGTTCCAGGTGCTGGCATGCCCCACACGTGTGCTGGATACATGGTGCACACTGGAGAAGCCACAGGCTGTACTTCTCCCAAAGGGTGGCTCAAGAAGTAACCTCCCTTCATGCCATCTGTTTCCACCCTTCAGCTGTGCCAGCAGCCCCCAGCAGCTGGAGTCTGGATAGCGGAGCCCAAGAGGCCCAGCCCTTCCTGTCTGCCCATATGGGGCGCATCCTGGCCCCCCCAGTGCCTCCCCGAAGCCTGCTGCATGGTAAGAAGACCTCCAGCGGGTCCCCAATAGTCCCTGGTCTCAGACTCTGCTCAAGGGCCACAGCAACAACCATCTAAGCTGAGAAGATTGGCCATTCTCTGGGCCGACTCAGCCAAAGCAAAAACACCCCCACCACAGGAAGGATCCTGCTGGGCTTTGGGGTCAGTGAGGTTTCTGAGTACAGCAGGTTAGCTCAGGAAGGCCATCCCAACTAGAAGGCTGAAGACAATGGAATTGACTTTGCCAGGCACACTTCTCACCAGACTGTTTCATCGCCTAGCAGTCGGCTACAGCTGCCGCTGCCTGAGGCCTGTTCCACAGACTCTGAAGCACTCAACTTTTCTGACTTCCTGTGTGGAGTGGGTTTCTTCTACCCCAGCAGCCTGTGTTTTGGAGAAGGCCAGTGTAAAGAGAGGTTTATCCATAGCCCTCAATGCTGAGGGGTCCCCGGGGGACTCTTCTCATGCCTGCCCAGTTGGCCCAGCAAGATGGTGCTGGCATGAAGCCTGTGCAGCGCCCCCAGCTGAGGCTCTGGTTCTGTTCCCTTTGCAGGTCATTACTCCCTACACTTTGACGCCTTCCACCACCCTCTGGGTGATACCCCCCCAGCCCTCCCTGCCCGGACCCTGCGCAAGGTAATGTACTGAAGCGGCAGCCCCACCAGGCTGTGAGATGAGTCATCTTGTCTGCTCTAGAACCACCCTTGGGGTCTACAGGAGGAACTGGAGCCCTCCCCTTCACCTCTCTCCCCAGCCTGGCAGAAGCTGGGGGTGGCCAGAGCCACACTTGAGCTGCAGTTGCACACTTGTGTCCTGCAGCAAATGTGATGGGGGCAGGGAGATCAGAGGGTCCTGGAGACAACACCACACAGTTCCAAGAGTGTGTGGGCAGTGAGCACTGGGAAACCTGGGGGCTGTCAGCCAGCACCAAGGTATCAACACACCATAGTTCGCTAGCTAAACAAACGTTCCTGTGGTGGATCAGAGAGCATTTCAAACTAGAATTCAGTAAAAGAAAGAACTTTATGAAAAACTCAGGAGAGTAAAATTTCCTACCTGTTAGTTTGTCTGCAAATTGGAAAAGACTGAGTCTATCACAGATTTTAGCAGCAGAATACATTCCTCTAGTCCATGGCCCACCAGGGTTCTTTCTGTCCCCCTCAACAGGCCTGATGACCCAGCCTTTATGTCAGTATCCCAGAGCCACCGACGGCAGCCTGGGACCTGGGACCAGGGGGCACCAATGCCCAGCAGCCAGGGCAGGGCCATTTTTTGGCCACTGAAATGCAGATGATTCTGGAGTTCCACTGGCTTACTTCAGGGTGGTGGGAGGAGCTGGGAGCTTGCTGCTGAAGAAACAAGAAACATGCTGTTGGTGAGGGTTAAAGTTCATTCATAAGCAGGCTCTTGGTCTTCCCGTGGCAGGCAAGTCAGCCTGTCTGAGAGAGGGATTCTAACATGCCCACCCTTTCCTTCACAGTCTCCTCTCCACCCTATCCCAGCCTCCCCAACAAGCCCCCAGTCAGGTCTGGACGGCAGCAACTCTACGCTGTCCGGCAGTGCCAGCAGCGGCGTGTCCTCCTTGAGTGAGAGTAACTTTGGGCACTCCTCGGAGGTCCCACCTCGCACTGACACCATGGACTCCATGCCAAGCCAAGCATGGAATGCTGACGAAGATCTTGAGCCACCCTACCTCCCTGTCCACTACAGCCTCTCTGAGTCTGCCGTCCTGGACTCCATCAAGGCCCAGCCATGCCGAAGCCACTCAGCCCCAGGGTGCGTCATCCCTCAGGACCCCATGGACCCGCCTGCGCTGCCGCCCAAGCCCTACCACCCCCGCCTGCCAGCCCTGGAGCACGATGAGGGGGTGCTGCTGCGTGAAGAGACTGAGAGGCCTCGAAGCCTGCACCGCAAGGCTTCATTGCCTCCTGGGAGCGCTAAGGAGGAGCAGGCCCGCATGGCTTGGGAGCACGGCCGAGGGGAGCAGTGAGGGGCAATGAGGCGGCTGGGATGCCGCCCTCAGTAAGCAGCTTGCCAACCACTCCAGGTCTGAAAAGCAAGTCCCCCAGCCCGACCCCAGGGAGCCAGAGAGGCTTGGCACTCAGGAGAGAACCACCCCAAGTCTCCATTCTACTGCCGTGAACTCATGTGTTGCCATGTACAGAGGCCACAGCAGCATGAAGGGTTGTGGCTTCCCTTTTTATTTTTTTACATTTCCATTTCTATGAGTTTTCCTTTCTTTCCTTTATGCAGTAGATGCTTTCTTCCTCCTGCAGTTCTGGACCATGTGGAGCTATATGGAGAAATTGCACAGACAGAATCACTTTGCCACACTGCAGGGCCCAGGAGCAGGAGCCCAGGTCCTCCCTCCAGGGTAGAGACGCACAGAATGGAAATTGCACTAAGGACCTCTTCCTTTGCTGTATGGACAGAAGAGTTCATGGTTGCATTCAGGGATTGCAAGGACCATATAGACATGTCACAGGTGGAAAAAGGGCCACAAGCCGTTTTGCACAAATGCCTGTCCACCTGCCCCTCTTCCATCCAGGAGTGTGCTACTGAGGGGCTGGCTGGACCAACCTGCTGGCTCAGGCACGTGACTGGCCTAACTGCATGCCCAGGGAACTGCCAGGGTTCAATGGGCCAGCCGTCTCCTACTCCATCTTGGATTTTTCTCTCCATCACATTATTTCTGACCATTTGCTCCCTTCCATTCTTGAAACACCTCATGCCCCACAGGAGCCCCAGTGGTGACTGGATCTGCAAGGGTTATCTCTCACCCTCTGGGGTTTGAGTGGAGGTATGGAGCCAGAGGGGCTATCCTAGCCACCTTCCTCCTAGGGGGAGCTGGTCCCCTTCCTAAGTGGTAGAGACTGGTGTAAGAGTGAGTCTGGGGTGTGGCAGGCGCCAGAAATCCTCGAAGCTTTCAGAAGCGTTCAGAATGCCTACCATCAGCTCCTGAATCAGGGATTTTCAGCACTACCTCTGAGCCATGGGGGTGGCTGCCTAGCCAGGCTTCCAGGCCCTGAGGACATGTGGTCAGGTTCAGCAGGCTCCTTGGTAAAGAGGGTGGGAGGGGGCTTCTCCTTTTGGAAGCAGATAGCCATGCAGGTAGAATTGTCATCTCCCAAGTGGCCACATACAGCAACCCGCTCCAGGCCATAGGGACCACCACTCAGGGTTTGGGGCTGGCAGGAGGGCAGTTTCTCCAGTCTCCCCAGTCTGTTGGTGTCTTTATAGGAAACTATAAAGCAGAGCAGTGGTGTCTTTAGAGGAAACTCATTCAAGTCAGGGCACTGATTTTCCTCTCAGTTTATTATTTGGGGGGATCGGGTCAGGTGGGTATAGTAGTACTTCACCAGGGTGCTTTTAAGTTACTTTAAAAAAAAAAAAAAGCCTACAAAATATTTATTTTCTTTTATTTGCTCAAGTTCACATTAATGATGGTCACAAGGCTGCCTTGTTGGGCAGGCATGTTGCCCCCATTTCCTCTTCTGCTGGCCTGTGTGACCTCCACAGCCAGGCCCTGGGCCCGAGCCCCTCGTCCCTTCTCCACTGCCCCTATTTCCAGACAGTAAAGGCCATGGTCAGGGTGTTTTTCACTTGTAAACAAACCCCAGCTTGTTTAACAGAAATGCTAATAACCTGCTGGGAAAGATGGAGGTCTAAATTACCTTCAGGGTTTTTCTGGGGCTTTATCATCAGTGTGGGTCCCTTCTGATACCATTAGGCTCACTCCAGGCAGAGTGGGGCAGAAGGCTGCTGAGGATGTGGGTCAGTCACAGCAGCCCTCACCTCAAAGGGCTGGCCTGCTTCTCAGCCTACATTTATTTGCAAGCTTCAATCTCTGGAGCATCTGGTGTTCACAGGTGTTAGAGGGTCGGGGCTAGCTTCAGATTTGATTCATAGGTAGGAGGGCTTAGATTTTAAGGCACTTCTGAACGTCAATCCCTGGACAAGGCAGTCATCCCATAAGAACAGCTACCTTCTCCACTTCGTGGCACAAGAGGTAAGGAGGGGAGTATGGGTTCATTTGGCTTCGCATTATGCAAGTTGAAACCGTTTGTTTCCCCTTTCCATTTTCCCTAACTGAATGAAAAGGACACATTCTGAAATCCCTTTTGTTGGAGAATTATTCAGTCTGAGGGGAAATGGGAGGCCAGAGATGAGAACCCTTTGAGAAGATTGTAAAATACTGATTTTCATTCTTTCAAGCTTATTTGTAAATACCTATTTGAATGCTGTGTATTTGTACAGGAATTTGAGCAAAAAATGTATAGAGTGTGATGTCCAATTGGTATTCAGCACTATAAATGTGTTTTTAACCTCACGCATTCTGTGCTTATTTAAAACAAGAAAACTTCTAACCATTCTTTTGTGTATTCATGTTTAAAGAAAACAAGTGATTTAAAAATGATCTTACCTGTACCAGAAAAGCAAAGTTAAAGGAAACAAAATTTGTACCATTGTCCCAAGAGGTATTTTACTGTATATATTGTGGTAGCATGTTCAAAATCCAACAAGTAATGTGAATTTTAGATGTAAATATCTGCCACTTGATTTTTTCCCCCTTTCCCCACTTCCTTGACTGCTGTGATGTGAATTAAAGATGAATATCTGATAATGATCCACTGAATTCACTGAATGGGAGCGGAGGATGTGCCCCTCTCCAACCCTTGTCGCCGGGCTCCAAGCCCTTTTTAGCCCCATAGACATGTCCTTTTTGCACTGAGTAGAGCCAACCCTTCCCCAACGTAGGAAGCCAGGGGGGCACTTGAAAGGAGGGCAGTCGAAATGGAAACATCCTCCAGTGCTTCTCTGCTGATCCCCGGGACCCCACTCAGGAGGCCCCTCAGCAACAGGGGACCCCGAAGGCCTAGCGGGGAGGCAGGAGAAGGCGGGCCAGCCACTGAGCCACGCTTCTGAGCTTGTAAGGGCACCTCCCGAGCCCCTCACCTTCCCACGCTGAGGCGACCCCATATCCTCGACCGATGATCCGGCCCGGGCGCTGCCCTCCACGGTCTAGAGTGGCGGCCCAGCTTTGAGATTGGCGCGCCTTGAGCCCTTCCTCCGGATGTCCCGCAGTCCGTCCACCCCGCACGTCTCCTGTCAGCCTACGCACGGCGGGCTCTGGTCAGGTGGAGGTTCAGCAGATGGGCTTCCAAAGGTTGGGTCCGTTGCCCACGCGTAGGAAAGAAGAAAAAAGGAAAGAAACTTTTGAGTCTTGCCTGCGGTCGCCCGCCCTCCCTGCCTAACCTGCTGTCTTGGCTGACCCCAGAACAACTGCGCCACGAGTCGGAGTCCGGGCGAGGAAATCCGCAGGGTTTTTCGAGCAAGCCTGGGGCCCAGAGCAGGGGTACGCGGGTCAACTCAACAGATGTAAGGCAGTGGCGAACCCCATTTCAGCTAGCGGTACCCAGCCTCAGTAGAGTCGCTGCCCTTACCCAATATGGTGGCCCACACCGCTTCCGTCGCTGCTGTAGCCGCTTCCTGCGGCCGGCCCGGGTTCAATCAGCGGCCGACAACTGTCTAGGGCTCAGACACCACCAGCCAATGAGGGAGGGTAGCGTGGAGCCGCCCGTCTGGGCTCCACGGCTTATGGACCAATGGAGATGTGGCGTGTGGGAGGGCGCGGAGGGCCCCCCGCCAATGGGGAGCTACGGCGCGCGGCCGGGACTTGGAGGCGGCGCGGCGCGGCGGGTGCGGTTTAGTCGGTCGGCGGCGGCAGCAGCGGCGGAGGAGGAGGAGGAGGATGTGGGCTACGCAGGGGCTGGCGGTGGCGCTGGCTCTGAGCGTGCTGCCGGGCGGCCGGGCGCTGCGGCCAGGCGACTGCGAAGGTGCTGGATGGGGGGCCTGGGGCCGCGCTCCGTGACCGTTCTGGCGACGGCGCTGAACCCCACAAAATCACCAGACGGCGGGGGCCAAGAGGGCGGGGGCGGGGGCGACGGGGGGTCCCGGCGGGGCCTGCACGAGGAGGCTCCGGCGCCCGCCCTAGTAAATCTTGCCCGGGCCTAGAAAACATTGGTCCGACGAGGAAAAGTTGAGACTAGATCCCGTTGAAAACTTGGCCTGAAATCTCCATCACGCCTGAGTTATTGTCCCCACCACCGTCCAGAGGTTACCGCTCCCCGTCCGACGTCGGGAGCCCCAGGGCTGGCCGTGGGTGCTGCGCCCTGTCTGTTGGGATCACGAAGCTGCACCTCTGGGTGCGCTGTTGTATTTGGAAATTAGCAGCAGCATTTTGATGGTTTTTCTCCTCACCTTCCAGTCTCTCCATTTACGAGGTCACAGTGAGTCCCGTCTCAAGGACACGTGTTCACCATGGGCTTAAACTTGATGAAAGGAGCAGGGAGGAGTCGTTTATAGGTCATTGGGTGATGCTTGGTCTTTTGATTACCTGGGTGTACCAGGGGACCCCTGCCACCTTGAACCGGGTTCCGTCTACCTGTAGGCAACTGAGAAAAATCGGTGATGGAAAAGCTCACCTCTAATGATTCATCCTCATGTCTCCTATTAAAATTGTTGGCGGAGTTCCTTCCTGGTGGATTGGAACAGCTTGGTGATTGCTGAGCATCTCCCGTCCCTCTCTTTTCCAGTTTGTATTTCTTATCTGGGAAGATTTTACCAGGACCTCAAAGACAGAGATGTCACATTCTCACCAGCCACTATTGAAAACGAGCTTATAAAGTTCTGCCGAGAAGCAAGAGGCAAAGAGAATCGGTTGGTAAGTAGTTGGTGACCCTCCCCAACTGGCCCTGGCTCATGTTAACCCTCAGCTTCACTAACCTTTTGATAAAAGGCCTTGCCCGCCTGTCTATTCAGGAAGCCAGCTACTCTCCATAAACTAATGTGAGACTGAAGTGTTTCTATGTCCTTCCCAAAGCAGGCATGTATTCTGCAACTGTGATTTTTTTTTAATCCTGTTAGTCCTTATTAAGCACCTACTATGTGCTGGGCACTGGGAGTATCAGGGGAAAGAAGTGACAGTCAGGCACACAAATAATGCAGTGTCTGGGTGTCATGAAGAAAATGGACCATTAGGTGCTGATTTAGAGTGGCCATGAAGTCTCTGAGGAAAGGTTATCATTGAAGTGAGATAAGAACATCCCATACAGGAAACAGCAGTGTGAGTGCCCAGAGGCCTGAACGAGTTTGGCATGTATGTGGACAGGAGAAGGTGACAGGGTGCCCACAGGATAGGCAAGGGCCAAATCAAGACAAGAGCCCTAGTGAAGCAATGGGTTTTCTAACTTTAATTTCCCTGGCAGTCTCTGGCTTATCTGTTAAAGGTTTGAACCCTGGTGACATTTAAACTCATTTGGTGGCTGCCAGCTTGGACTGAGCATGTGTTAAGAGTCCAGGGTTTACACTGACTGAATCTGACTACCAGTACAGGCAGGGCACTGAAAAATGCAGCTGTGGGCCAGGTGCGGTGGCTCATGCCTGTCATCCTAGCACTTTGGGAGGCCAAGGTGGGAGGATTGCTTGAGCTTAGGAGTTTGAGATCAGCCTGAGCAAAGTGGTGAAATCCCATCTCCACAAAAAAATGTTTAAGCTGGGCACGGTGGCTCACACCTGTAATCCCAGCACTTTGGGAGACCGAGGTGGGTGGATCACCTGAGGTCAGGAGTTCAAAACCAGCCTGGCCAACATGGCAAAACCCCGTCTCTACTAAAAAATACAAAAATTAGCCAGGCATGGTGGCAGGCGTCTCTAATCCCAGCTACTCAGGAGGCTGAAGCAGGGAGAATTGCTTGAACCTGGGAGGCAGAGGTTGCAGTGAGCCGAGATCGCGCCACTACACTCCAGCCTGGGTGACAGAGCGAAACTCTGTCTCAAAAAAAAAAAAAAGTTTTAATTAGCTGGATGTGGTGGCCCACACTGGTAGACCCAGCTACTAGGGTGGCTGAGTGGGAAGGATCACCACCCAACAGATTGAAGCTGCAGGGAGTCATGATCGTGCCACTGCATTCCAGCCTGGGCGACAGGGGGACCCTATCTCAAAAAAAAAAAGTTAGGCCTTACCAGAGAGATGATGTTTCAAGGTGTCAGTATGTTTGGAGGCGATGGCTCTCAAGCACCTCCTGAAGGCCACTGTCCTTTCTTGATGCAGTGCTACTATATCGGGGCCACAGATGATGCAGCCACCAAAATCATCAATGAGGTATCAAAGCCTCTGGCCCACCACATCCCTGTGGAGAAGATCTGTGAGAAGCTTAAGAAGAAGGACAGCCAGATCTGTGAGCTAAAGTATGGTGAGTACGCCTAGTCCTTACTTAATGAATGCTATGCACCTTCTGGGTTTATTTCCCATCTGGGAGAGGAAAATGATGAGCTAGAGTCATGAGTGGATTGTATCGTTTGACAGATGGTGCTAAATGCTGGAGGGCTCTGGCATGGAAGTGGGTGGAGGTCAGAATAGGCCTTATTGAATAGGTGATATTTCAGCAAACTTTGAAGGAGGTGAGGATTAGCCAAGAGGCCAACTAATGGAAGAGCGTTCCAGGCAGAGGCTACAGGCAGGATAAAGGTGGCCAGTGGCATGGCAAGTCAGAGAGCATTGCAGGCTGGTGAGGGCTTTTAATCTGCATGAAGTTAGGAGCATTAGGAGTTTTTGAGCAGAGAAGTGACATGGTACGACTTGGGTTTAACAGGCTGGTTCTGGCTGCCAGCTCTGAAGCCCCAGTGATCTTTACTATTCTGAAAAGAAACGCTATGTCCAAGTATGCAAGCCCAAGAGTTAGGAACTACAGCATCTCTCTTGCTGACTGGGTCTCTGGTTGTACATAGTCCCAGTCTTCAGAAACAGGGCATCTTCTGAAAAACTTGAATGGCCAAGGACCTGTGTTCGCCCACTTGGGTCTTCTGAGAGTCATCCTGGTACAGGTCCAGTTGGCTCCAGGTCACTGTGGTCATGGAGAGTAAGTTCCTCAAGGGCCTGAGCAGGGCTGCTCTTTGTCACCAGCCTGGAGCTGTTAGTCTGTGGTGACTATGTCAGAGGCCCTTGGAAGATGGGAACCACGTTTCTCTTGTAAGGACAGTGTGGCCTCTGTCCCTATCCTTGTCCACACTGCATATCTGTAGTAGACACAATATGTGGCCAGCCTTCCTGGTGAAGAGGCTAGTTCCCTCTTGTGGTGGCAGTAGGCACTGACATGCCTGTAAATGTGTCTGGAAATGTCTCTTCCTCTGAAACCAGTAGGGCTGGTTTGGCCATTCAGGGAGTGATATATTCTGGGACTACTGGGGGACTGCGGCTGCTCCACCTAGCCAGTGACTCTCCCTGCTCTCTCCTCCAGACAAGCAGATCGACCTGAGCACAGTGGACCTGAAGAAGCTCCGAGTTAAAGAGCTGAAGAAGATTCTGGATGACTGGGGGGAGACATGCAAAGGCTGTGCAGAAAAGTCTGACTACATCCGGAAGATAAATGAACTGATGCCTAAATATGCCCCCAAGGCAGCCAGTGCACGGACTGATTTGTAGTCTGCTCAATCTCTGTTGCACCTGAGGGGGAAAAAACAGTTCAACTGCTTGCTCCCAAAACAGCCTTTTTGTAATTTATTTTTTAAGTGGGTTCCTGACAATACTGTATCAGATGTGAAGCCTGGAGCTTTCCTGATGATGCTGGCCCTACAGTACCCCCATGAGGGGATTCCCTTCCTTCTGTTGCTGGTGTACTCTAGGACTTCAAAGTGTGTCTGGGATTTTTTTATTAAAGAAAAAAAATTTCTAGCTGTCTGTGGAGAATTATGGTGAATACTGAAATGGGGTTTTGCCCCAGAAGGTTCCCACCAGTTTATGCTTTCCAGTTGCAAAGTTTGGGGGGATATTCATTTCCATTTATCCCTCAACCCACCAGCGCTGAAAAGACCAGAGCAGGACATAGGGGCTAGGGCCCGCTGATGTGCCTGGGTGTGTGCCACTAGAGGGCAGCAGGCACCTCAGCAGAAAGGAGGTAGGGGGTGCTGGGCTTGATACCCTGCCCCTTGATACCGTATGTCTTAGCCACCCAAGAGAGCTGGAGGCCACAGCTTTAGGAGGAGTGAGTCTGGATACATTGGAGGGCCTTAAATTGTGGCTCAGTACAAGCAAGACAGGGTGTGTGGAGTGTGGTTTTCCACAAGGATGCCTTCAATAACAGTGCATGTCAGCACTGACATCTCAATGCTGTTGGCCTGGCCACCTACTTGCTTTTTTGTCCATTCCAAGCCTCTGATATCTATTCCAGTTTTTGCAAGACTAGCAGGAGTCAGCTTATACAAGGAGGGACTGAGAAGCTGCCGTTTGCCTTTGTTTACCCTACATTAGTCAAACAGTTGAGGTCCAGGGTTTTTCTGGAGTCTGCTTCTTAAGCCACGCTCTGTGGCATTGGTGCTTAGGAAACCCAGTTGTTAGTGTGAGCTGTGGCTCAATGAAAACACCTGTAGAAACCACCTGAAAGGACGAACTAAGAACCAGTGCTTTCCAAGGAATTGCTCTTGCCTCAGATCACTTGTGTCTCCTAAGCTCAGTTTGCCAGTAGGAGGCCTTACAGGCTGCTGTGGAACCCGT